TGGTACCCTCACTGGGCTGTGCCTGCTTTGCAGTGGAACAGCTCAAGCCATGCCATGGCCTCAGTGCCCCTGAGAATGGTGCCCGCAGTCCTGAGAAGCGGCTACACCCAGCAGGGTCCACCATCCACTTCTCATGTGCCCCTGGCTACGTGTTGAAGGGTCAGGCCAGCATCAAGTGTGTGCCCGGGCACCCATCTCACTGGAGTGACCCCCCACCCATCTGTAGGGCTGGTGAGTATCCTGTCACCCCCAAAACTCAGCCTGGTTCATAGAGCTGCTTTGACAAAGATGTCTAATGTTGAGTCCCAGAATCTCCTGCGCATGCCACCTTCATGTCACCCTTGGTCTCCCCAGTCTCTGCCAGAGCCTTCTGACCTGGCATCACCAAGACAAATGTGAGATGGGCCCTCCTTGGACAAATCCTTCCCATGACAGCCCACTACCTCTACTCCCTGACTTAGTAGTTTGGTCTGTTGGGCTCACCCACTGCCCTTGGCCCTCCCCTCTTGTTCCAGCCTCTTTGGATGGGTTCTACAGCAGCCGCAGCCTAGATGGTGAGTCGCCACCTGTGAGGGCCAGGGAAGTGGTCTCCCTGTCCCTTGTTCTCACAGTTCCCAGGCTTCCCAAGGAGGGAGGGCAGAGAGAGAGATAGGTTTAGGCTTAGCAGGACAAAAGGCTTCTTCCCTGCCCCCACCCAGCTAGAGGGAACTGGTAGCTGGTTGCCATTCAGTAGAAGTGAGGGAATGTGGGCTCCAGGTGACAGGGACCTGTGCTCCAATCCCACCTCTGTGTTTTCAGTTGCCAAGGCACCTGCTGCCTCCAGCACCCTGGATGCTGCCCACATTGCAGCTGCCATCTTCTTGCCTCTGGTAGCCATGGTGCTGTTGGTGGGAGGTGTGTACCTCTACTTCTCCAGGTGAGTCTGGCTTCTCTTCCTGCTTTGCATACCTGACTTTCTCCTCTAGTACTCCTGACTCACAGGCTTCTCTTTCCCCACAGGCTCCAGGGGAAAAGCTCCCTGCAGCTGCCACGAACACGCCCCCGCCCCTACAACCGCATCACCGTAGAGTCAGCATTTGACAATCCAACTTATGAGACTGGAGTAAGTAACCATGCCAGCCTCGACACCCTATCTAGGACCCAATTCTATCTCCCTTGGGAAGGTGTCCCTGAGAGACCTGCCAAGTCCTTTCACTTTTTCCCTTTCCCTGGGAATGTCAATTACAGGCTGGCAAACCTTATACAAGTTTCCAACTCCCAGCAGTCTCTTTCCTTTGCAGGAGACGAGAGAATATGAAGTCTCCATCTAGGTGGGGGCTGCCTAGGGAAGCCAACTCAGCCCTGCATCACAGCCCAGCAGCAAGGCTCCCAGCTTCCTGCTGTCTCTCCATTTTCTGTACATACCACCTGGGAGGAGATCTCAAGAGGTTGTGCCCTTCCCTGCCTGCAATGCCCACCATGGCCTATTTTCTCAGTATCACTGCCCACTTATGGTCCTTCCTTGGGTCCAAGTCAGCGGGCATCTGCTTATGGGCAGAGCACAGCTGGAGCACACACATCAATAGCCAGCATTGTCCTGATCCTCCCTTATGCCCTGGTCCTCCAGCCTGGAATGCACAGGCAGAGCTGGAGCACCTTTCTCCACATGACCACTATCCAACACTGGCATGGTGACCTGTGGCATGGTCAACTTGGCGGTGGTGGAAACTGTACTGGGATGCTCCTCATAGAGCCATCACCAGTGGCCAAAACTGCTTTCAACAGTGACCTGTGGATAATCCTGGCATGCCAACATCAGCCCCTCAGGGAGGTTTTTAGTCCTCTAAAACCCCAGGAATGAACAGTTGTGCCTCCTGCCCTGTCCCAGTGGAGGCAATAATTTTAAGGGATCCTAAGGGGTTCAGGGACTACACCCCAACTCAGGTTGGGCTTCCCTGGGTACTCATTCTCCACACCAAAGCAGGACAGCCCACTGCTCCCCTGGCAGCCCTATACCCTGAGGAGAAGAAGGACTTCCTGATATTTATCTGGCTTTTACAAACATTCTCTTTCCCACTGGTCACTTCTCCAATGCCAGATGCTTGCCAGGCTCCCCTCCAGGCTACTGTGTTATGGGATATGGGGAGTGGGCAGGCATATTCTGAGAGGAGCAGAGGTACAAGAACCCAGGAATTTGGCATGCTCAGAGAGTCCCAGGGAGAGGCCCAAGAGCTGACTGAAGGCCACTTTGTACATATAATGTATTATATGGGTTCTGGGCTTCAGCCAGGGAACAATCTTTTATTTCTGTTGTTTCCTTATTAAAATGGTGTTTTTGAAAAAAACCAAACAACGGCCAGGTGGATGGTGCTTTCTTGGAGGGAAGGGAGGTGGTAGATAAATGGGATCTGTATTTCAGGACCAGAAGGCATGCCAGACTCACTAACCAATCATCCTCAGGTTTTATTTAAAAAGAAAAGGTTACATGCAGTGAGCAGGGTTCAGTGTCCCAAATAGGTCAGTGCAACAGATGGCAGGTGAAATAAGAGGCCCCAATGGCTGGTTCCTCAGGGAAGTAAGAACCCAGGAATCCCACTGCATGTCCACCCCAAACCTCATTTCTTTCTCTTTGTCAGATCCAGAACTACAGGCTGGCATACTCCCATCCCTTCTCAATGCCACTGAATTGCTGACAAGGCCCAGGAAGCCCAACACATCTCTCCTTCCCCTTATTTCCAAACAAGCAAGTCTTGGGAAATTGATTTAGGAAGTAGAGACTGAACCCCTGAACATAAGCCCTAGTCTGGCTTGGCCTCATAGAACATCCAGATTGTCAGGAACAAGAGTAATGCAGCTTAGGGGCTTGGATCCTAAGTTAGACAAAAAGTCTTATCCATGGGCTCTGGGAAAAGGTGACTGGGAAGAATCTGCTTAAGTCTGCCCCTTCCCTATGGCCCCTGGTGCTTCCTGACACGAAAGTGTTTACCCAGTGTTGGCTTCCAGCATGCACATTCCACGCTTCAGAATAAAAACAAGAGCCAGGCAATAGGGAGTTAAAGGAACTCAGAAACCAGAAGACAAAAATCCCTGAAAGAAACAATAGCTGCAGCCAGTACCTTCTGCTCTTAAAGTCTTCCAAAAGGGAGGCCTTGACCACTCATGTTGCCCACTCTGGCTCAAGCACAAGCCACCTTGAAGAATGAAGCGCCAAACCAAGCCAAGTGCAGTGCCCACATTAGCCACAAGAGGTCACTTCCAAAGACATCTATATCCCACCTGCTCTCCCTGCAATCCCCCTAGAACAGCTAGAGCTGGAGCTCTCCAAGGTGGCACCACTCCTGGCCCCACTAGGCTGACCTCATCCTCCAAATTCCAAGAGGAAGGTGAGTAAAGTTTCCCTGGCACTTATCAACAGAGTCAAATCTTATTTCCCTCATTAGCCTATCACCTGTTCTTGTTCTCAGCTGCAACTGATGGTGTTGATCAAAGTAAAACCTTGCTCACTGGACATGTGCCAGTGGCTTACTTATCTGCCCTATAATGCCATAAGGCTGACACAGCAGCACAGTTGGGCCCTAAGCAGTAGTAAGGAAGCCAATGAGAAAAAGCACATGAGGTTCTAACCTCTGAGGCCCTGCGTCATGATGTACCATCCCAGGAGAGAAAAGATCTGGCGACTTCAAGCAAGCTGGCTCAGCCTTTTCCTCTCTAAAGACCACATCTCTGGTCCATAGCCACTAAAATCTATTGTTGCTGAGGCTGGCAGAAGGCAGACAGCAGCCGATTTACATAACACTCTCCACCCCACCCACCATGACCTTATCATTCTTTCCAAGCACCAAGAGGGCCATCAGAAAAGTGAAAAGTCAGAAAAACAGAAACCTAAGACTCCACACACTAACCCAACCCTATCTAACCCATCCTCCTTACTGTCCAAAAGAAGGATCAGCAACAATTCCTCAAAAGCAGTTAGCATGGTGTAATGGACAATGCCTGGCCGGAAATCAAGAAATGTTTCATTCCTAAGTCTGCCATAAATTTATTATGTGACCCAGGCAAATCACTGGTCCTCTCTGTGCATCTAAAAATGAAAGGATTAAATCAAATGGTTTCTAAAGCCCTTTCCAGTTTTACGATTCTGAGAATGCTGTGGGCTTTAACACTAAAAGCAGGCAGGGCATAGCGACGGAGCTACAAAGTCAGTTAAATTCCTAGCGTCGGGCACAACGATGCGGTTCCTTTCTCCACTGCTCCATCCTCCAGCAGGCAGCTATAACTGGCCCTTTCTAACGCAGATAACAAGGGGAGGGGCGGGCGTCCAGGAAAGGCTCATGAATCCCCGCCCAGAATTCGAGGTGAAGCTCTCAGACTACAAATCCCAGCATGCAGCACTGTAACGCTCAAAAATACCCCTTCCCGACAGGCAAATCATTCTTCCGACTCCATCCTACCGTAGAGTGAATTGCACGCACACAGAACTACGACTCCCACAATCCATCAGACGCATCGCGATTCTTGCTCCCAGAGTGCAATGCTCTCCAGTTCGCCCTTTAGACTCTTTCGCATTGCAAACTGGGAGTTGAAGTCCGCTATACGCAGGTAGCTGGGCGTTGTCGGGAATCAGACTTCGCTTTGGGCTTCCTCTTGAGCAGTTCTCGGGGACAGTGGTGAAGAGAGGGTAGTAACGGGCAGGCGGAACTCTTCATGGTGCCATCACCATGCAGGGCTGGGATGCTCGGGCTGAAATTAACAGTAGGGAGAGGGAAGGAAATGGGAACCATGGCCATCCAACCTGACACCAAAAGCGTCATTTTCTGTCGCAATGGCTTTTCTTTTCTCTTTACCAATATGGCGGCTTGATCCTGCCACACCTGACGCTAGAACCAAATAGTCCGGTGCAACATCCCTAGGAATACTGCTTTCACCGACAGTCTACCAGCTCCCTTTAACACCACACCTTACTCCTTCCTGTCCATTGCTAAGGACTCCAGGGGCATGGTCGCTCATATCCCATTACCAAAATGGCGAAAGGAGAAGCTTTCTTGTGAGGGCCTGCAGACGACAATACGCCTGCGCGGAAGGCCGCTGTGTTATGGGACGGGAGGGATGCACCCTCTCACGCCTGCGCGGGAACAGAGTCCTCTTGGTCTACACACAAACGCCAATGGATGAAGAGTCCCCGGTTTCCTGCGGCTGCGCCGTGACCCCCGAGAACTTTCCCAGGCGCCTGCGCGAGGCCTCAGGTCCCGCCCTTTTGTCTCAGTACGCTGGCGCAAGGCAGAAAGGCGGGGCTTCGGCGCTCCAGACGAATGCCAGCGCGGCTGCGCGCTGGGGGGTATCCCCTCACCGCGGCTGCGCGGGAGCCCGGCCGCCGGCTGTCACTGCGGTTGCGCGCGGCGAGCGGCGATCCCGGGGCGCCTGCGCGGGTGGCTTTGCGGGCGCTCGCGGTAAGTTTGCGCCAAGTGCGCGGCAGCCGGGACGCAGACGGCGGCGGCGGCAAGAGGCGGAGCCCGGGGACCACCCCCCATCACCCTCCCCCCAGTCACCTCACGTACCACAACCTCACCTAACCTCTCACCCCCCCTCGGGTCCCCCCAGCCCCGGGATGGCAGCGCCCGCCAGCCTTCCCGGCCGGACCAGCGGTCGCCAGTGCCGGCTTTAGCCTGTGGGACTAGGCCCCGCCGAGGCCTGACCCCCGGAGCCGGGACCCACTGTGCAGCTAGCAGCCGGGCCGGGACTGAGGGGCCGCTCCCCCCTCACGGCCCGTAGGGAGGAC